AAACTCGGAGTGACACTGCAACTGTTATGGACAGGCGTGTCGCTTACCACCAGGCGCACGACTTGTTCGTTCCGTCGCGTGGTATCATAAATAAAAGTAAAAAAACGATATTGAGATTCATTGTTTCGATAAAATGTGATCGTAATCCGCAGGTACGCTAAAAAGATCTTGCTGAAAAAGGGGATTTTTTTTAATTTGATTCAGGAATTCTAGTTTGAATTTTGAGCAAAATACACAACAAGTGAGCATGTAGTAGTGATACAACATGAATTTCATAGATTTAGTATATAGGTAAATCTATGATTAAACCAAATTTTAATAAATAAAAAGCTTTTTATAGATAGGTAACGATCAAATTTGCACTGAGTAAAATTTGTAACCGGTTCAGCATCCTAAAATTGAGATCTTCATGGTCTTTATAAACATGACCTTGTTTTATTGTTCTTCTTACTTAACAGTCATGTAGTAATTTCCCTTCAATTTCAGCAAATCTATAACGTCGGTCGTCGCCTTAGAGTCGAAACCTTGCATATACGCATTTGTTTTTACATAGTTCGTTCACAATGATTATTGCTGAAAAAAAAATTATATTCACAATGATTATTGCTGAAAAAAAAATTATAAACTGCCTGCTCAAATATATTAAAATGCTGACTACAAACATTATTGAGTTTATTACAAAATGAAATATATAACACCATATTTTTATCATTATATAGAAATCATGCGAGGTATTCACTCTTAAAACGACAATAAGGAATCTCATATCAAGAAAACCGTGAATACTTTTAACCAAGCCTTATAATCCTTCTATCTATTGGTTTATGTGATTGGAATTATTATAGTCGTTACTCACCTTTTATAGTATGTTCCGATACCTTGCGGTTAAAATATACTTTTTATGTTATGCTGGTGGGTACCAAATGTTGTGATATAAAACTGTAATACTTGCCTAAACATTCCGCAACTGTAACTAGATTTCTAGAAACGTAACTATTTTTAAGATATTAAATAACCACAGACCACATAAACACTTAAATAACGGAACAATTCGTGCGTCTGGTGGTAAACGACACGCCTATTGACAGGACAAGGCCCGTGTGCCTGTGATTTCACAAATCAGTAATTATCACATTACTGCTTGGCGCCAGAAATAGGTAAGATGGCAAGTACTTCCCTGGACGATTTCGTTCACATGGAGCGCTACTGCTACTTAAATATTTATTCGGGCATAACCATCTAAGCATCTAACCAACATTTAGGGCAAAACCCATGGCCACAACTTACTGGCTGACTAACCTTGACACGTTGAGTTCTTCGTATTATTTCACGAAAGAAAATTAAGAAGACCAAACAAAACTCAATCTATCTGTCTCTGTCATGCACACAGCTAGATTGATAAAGAAATAACTACCCTAATGGCTAACCTTTGGTTGGAGGGAAAAAAAATGTCTAAGTGGCTAACTTATAATTGACATAGTGACAGGTGTCAGGGTCATTAGCCTGCCAGCGCTAACACAGCACAAAGGCGCTGTTTAAACTTTTTTCATGCATGCCAGCGTGCAGAGAATGGAGCGCCTGCCTATTTTTCGCGTCATTAACTTGCCCCGATTCACCGCGTCTGTTGTGCCCGAGGCACTATACAAGTACAAACACTTTGATCCAGTGACCGTCACCAAAGCGATATAGACGTTGGATTAATGTTTGACGAAAATTAAGTAAAAATGGAATAAATGCAAAACTTTGGTGTTTCTTCAACTTTCAAATTACAGTATCTACATTTCTGTGATAACTGTTCCTAATAACAGTTTTAATAAATTTCAAATTCAAATTCAAATTCAAATTCAAATTCAAATTCATTTATTCAGATAACTAGGATCCATAAGTGTTAGCAACAATGAAACTTATAATTAGGTTAGTACTTAAATTCTAGAACAGATTTTGTATTATTAATGAGATGCCGCATTATGGGACACTCACACCTAACTGCAATTGTCTTCAGGAGGCTGTTACCGCTGCCACGTATTCTGTTCAACAGAGATGCTGATCTTTTGCGCAAGACTGCCATGAAGCTATCCACACGGGCTTCAGCAAACACGGCAGACGCACTGCAAAACCGCGGCAGCCGCATCAGCGTCCTGAAGGTGTAATAAAGTTCTGAATCATCGATCTACCTTCCCGAACGGTCCACTTACTTGATTTGTGGTACAATTTTTTTTGTGATGAAATGGGTTATGAAAGGCTTTTTTCGTTTCTTTTTTTCACTGGTTTTGAGACATTTAGTTTTCGAAGATTTTTAGGATCAATCAGTCTGTATCGATGGTTCGCAATACACAATAAAACCAGTTTTCTTACTTTTCGCATGCACATTTTGGTTCTCTTTTGATCTGGAATGTAAATGCACCTACGCCTTTTGCATCCAAACACCTTAAGATAACTCAAATCCGGCCTCCAACTGGTTCATTCCAGTGTCAGCTTTTAATGATCCAGATAAGTCTTCTATTTTTCAAACAGACTGATTTTACCTTAACTGCAATGCATGACAAGCTGAAGTTACACCTAAATCAGTAGGTACTAGCACTAACTGCGAAACATCAGCGTAAAGCCGACCATACCGACCATCGCCACGTTTACAACAGTAATTATTAGAGTGCACTAATAGATAAAAGCATAACGAGTCAGCATATATGTATACCACAATTATTTACCTAAGACTTTAATCCTTATTTCTTGTGTTTGCTGATGCACAATGATGATTAGGCATATTTTAGACTTTGTTGGCATAGCGTCTGGCACGGTTAGCCAGGAGATATTGGTTCGAATCCAGCCGGATCTGCTTCCATTCCAGTGCTGGTAATTTATAATACCTATATTTTTCCCAAACTCAAAAGTAACAGCCACTTAAGAAAACAACAATATGTATTTATTGGTCTGTGGGGTAACAGCTAACTTGGCCAGTGCAGTGTAACAATAACAAATGAGGACTTGGTTTTAGTAGAGACGTGTATAGGCATGTAGTATAAGTAAGTGTAGGTAAGTGTTGAACACATAACTTTCTTTTACCCTATTATGCTTTCTAGTAACGCTTATTTAAATTGTAGTCATAACTGTGTTTTTTTTATTTTGTTATGCTTGTTTATTTTTGTAAATTGAAATGTTTTGTGTAGTTTTGTAATTTCCATGTTAACTTTTTTTTTTTTTTTATTTTATACCTGACAGGCAAATGACTCCACTCCACCTGATGTTAAGTG